GCATTTTGAAGGGGGGTAAGGAGGTGGCATTGGAGAGAGAAGTCAATACTGGGTTGCCAGCGTGTTATTTTGCCAAATATGGATGTCTTTTGTTAAAAGATACCTTCCAACTCTTCTCTCCCTAATTTCTCAACTAAAGCACACTGTCACAAAGAACAGAGGACCAGCTCCACCAGCCCTCACCCCACACGGGCAGCAAAACGACACTGACCATACGGTCACCTGGCGGGTCCCTTGTTATGAGGCATGTCCTGCCCTAGGTTCTGGGGACACGAGTGAACACAGCAGATGAAACCCGCCTCACAGAGGTTACATCCTAGTGAGGAAACAAACAAAATAAAGATACAAATAAAATACTTACTATGTGAAATAGTGTTAGTGCTGAAGGAAAAATAAAGGAGGGGGTAGAATTAGCATGTGATGGGGGAGGGGGGCTGCCAGGAAGGGTCTCACTCTGAGGGAGACACTTGAGTAAATACCTGAAGAAGAGGAGGGGCCGCGCCGGGTACCTCGGGGTGGGGGGAGGGCTCCCAGGAGAGGAAGCCGCAGGGCGAAGGCCTGGAGGAGTACCGTGGCAGGCGCGGCCAGGGAACTTGGACGAGGCCAGAAGTGAGCAAGCGAGGGGGAGCAGGAGATGAGAGGGGAGACTAACAGAAACTAGGTCATAGGGGGCTCTGAGGTCAATCTAAGGACCTTCCCATTGACCATGGAGAAAGACCATGGATAAGCCAGCATGTTCCCGTTAGGAGTGGCATGACCCTACTATTTTAACTGGATCATTCTGGCTCTTCGGGTGAACAGAGAGACTGGGGAGAAGGGAGGACCAGGGCAGGGGCAGGAGCAGGAAGCCCCACAAGACAAGTGACCTCAGGCCAGGAGGCAGAGCGGAGCTGCTGGGAGGGCCTCACAGTGAACCTCCCTGCAGGCCCAGCTCCCAGGACTACAAGGGACACAGTGTGGGTGTGAAAGGAGGAAGACAGACAGACACACAACTCACAAGTTTTTAGACTGAAAACTGGAAGGGTAGGGCTCCCATGGGCTGAGATGGGCAGGTTTGTTCACAGAACGGATTTGAAGAGAACAACAAAAGCCCAGTTTGGACATTTATTAGACACCAAAGTGTACAGAGTAAGTCAGACTCCGAAGTCTAGACACTGAAATGGACAGACAAGGACATGCAAGTTGGGCAGCTGGCATTTAAAGTAGAAAGACTGGATGGGATCACCCAGGAGGAAGTAGACAGGAAGGAGCAGTTCCAGGCCTGAGCCGCAGGGCGCCCTATGAAGGAGAAAGATCAGGGAGACGAGCAGGAACAAGCAGAGCGGGAAGAAGAGCACGTGGGGAGTGGGTCCTGAAGGCCAAGAAAAGAGCACGTGTCAGCTGGGGACACCAACCAACCACCTCGCATGTGCTGGGGAGTCCCTGGGAACTGACTCCTTGGCGGAACAGCGCAGAAATAAGAACGGAGAACAAAGCAGCAAGAACGTCAGCTGAGAGAGGACAGGGAAGGGGTTACTGGAGGCTTGGGAAGAGAAGGGAACGTGGCACTAGTTAAAATGGGAGCAGAAATTCACTAGGAAGAAATGGTATCATGTCCAGGCAGCATGAACGTCCAGCCACAGTCCGTGATCATGAACTTAACGTAAACCCACGCACCGTGGTTGAGAGTCTTTCCCCAGCTGCGCTGAGCTATGCAGGCGCAGGCACTGCAGCGGCAGAAAGCTTCGCCCAGAAGGAGCGACAAGGGTGAGGAAGTGGGGGTGCCGGCCTGCAGCAGAGCGCGGCTGGGAGAGAGGGGAGGAAGGCACGAGTGTGCCACGGGGCGTGGAGCAGTGGTGGGATCCACAGGGCCCAAGGATGAGCGAAGTCAGGGCACCAGCAGAGGGGTAATGGTCAGAGGGGGAGACAAAGAAATCCCTGTGTCCCCATTTCAAAGTTCACTGGAGGCAGGACAGAGAAGGTGCTGTCATCTGTCACTTCCTTCTCCTTCATCCCTGAGCCGCAAATCCCCCCTTCTCCACCACCAGCACTGCCACTGCATGTCACAGACACCCTGCTCCCGAAAGGCACCATCACCTCCCACCTGCTGTCTCACGGGACCGTCCTCTGGTCCTGCACCAACAGTGAGCATCTCAAAGGCAGAACCTGTCTTATCTGATCCTGACATTCCAGGCAGCACCTAGATTTCAGACCAGCACTTGATACACAGTTGCTGAGGAGTAATATCACTTACATTCCTGTGCCAAAACATCTGTTACAATACCGAGAGAGAATGAGGCAGGCACAGGAGGATTCGGCCACAGGGACATGCCAACAGGGATCTCTACACAGCTCACGTAAAATGGCGACTTGACCCACATCTCAGAGTTACGCTACCGTTTTTATTTTATTTTCAGAAGATTTTGATTTCAGAGAGATTTTCTAAAACATTTTTCAGATTCCAATTCCAATTTCACCTTCATTTTCTGAAACTCCTCCTGTCCAGAGGGCCTGACTCCCAGAGCAAGAGCATCGGAGCCCTGACTCAGCCCTGCCTGTGCTGCAGTCCCAGGTGGGGCACCACGTCCAGCAGGGGGTCACTGGGAACTGCCACCTCTCCTCTTTGGGAACTGCCACCTCTCCTCTTTGTGAAGTTCTTATTAGAAGTTCCACAATATCTCAAATTATCGCGCCATTCTTTCTTACTTTCTTGAAGTGACAGACTGAGGGTCAAATTTAACAGTGATGGCACCATTTACATATAATATGGCCCTCCAAATCATAAAGGTGGTAGGTTTTTAAATTTTTATTCATTTTTTTTATTATGTTTGGGGGGGGGGTCGGAGGTAATTAGGTTTATTTATTTATTTTAACGGAGGCACTGGGGATAGAACCCAGGACCTCGTGCATGCTGAGCACACGCTCTGCCACTGAGCTGTATACCCTCCCCCCACCAAAGGTGGTAGGTTTTATTCCTCTGATAAACATAGTTTACTGGTAATTATAAATGAACACAGAGCTGGACTTACTCGTTCCACAGCTGCGTTATGATATGGGAGCTCTTCTTCACTGCAGAGGAAAAACAGTATGTGTCAAACAGTTGAAATCAGAGCAAATTCTGAAAAAATTATAAACCTGTAGGCACAGAGGATGTACAAACACTTATCATCACAAAAGTTACATAAACTTTCAATTCCATCGGATTCAACATAAAACAATTAGCTAGTCTGTAACCATATGGCCCCTGTCTTCAAATCTCTAGATCTGTACTGTCTAATCTAGTCATCTCTAGCCACATGTGTCTGTTTAATTTTAAATGTAAATTAAACTTAAAATTAATGTAACTCATTATCAGTCTCTCTAGCCACAGGTCAGCTGCCGTACTGAGCAGGGCAGACAGAGAAACAACATTACCGCTGTGGACAAGACTGCTCTAGTCCAGGGGTCAACAACCTTTTCCATAAAGGTAAATATTTAAATAGTAAATATTTTAGGCTTTGTGGATCATACAGTCTTTTTCATTACTTAACTCTGATGTTGGACTCTGAAAGCAAACACAACAACACGTAAACAGAGTCTGGTTTTGTTGCCACAAAACTTTTACAAAAACAAGCGGTAAGCAGACCTGGTCTACAGCCTCTTGTTTGCCATCCACTACTCTAGACCATCGCCTCCATTTTCTGGCTCAAACTATAGCCTAAAATAAATGGTTGTTCAAAAACGTTAGTATAGGGAAATAAAACTGCTTCCAATAGATTTATGAATTAAAAAGAAAACTTCAACTTTTATTCTGTAAATAGGGAAAGCTTCATAATGTCAAAAATTCAATGGGAATAATTTTTTAATGTACAATAAAAGATCAAATTCATTTCTCTTATACAGTAATTCTGATACCACCTCTAACATAAAACATTCCGAGACACTTATGAGAACTGTCAGTAACACAAAAACGACGTGCTATCTGTAAACAAGGTTATGCTTTGAGTTGCTATGTATCAGCAGTCTCGATGTTCTGATGATACGCATGCCTTAGTTTCTCTTGAATCCAAGTCATAGCACTTTCAAGAGCACAATACACTAGTATTCTTGAGCCCAGGATCTTCAAAGGCCCTCTTCTGCTACTCTGGAGTCTTTAGGCGAACCATGAAGCTGCAGCCATGGGACTGACAAAAATGTGTAAAGGCCAAGAGATCTCAGAGAGGCAGCGCAACCCCTCACTGGACAGATAAGAAAACGCACACTTCCCTTAGTCACAGTCACTTGTCCTAATACAGAGACGTCCAGCGCTACCTAACCCAGGGGCTTCAAACCAACGTAAGATCTTCACACTGTGCAGGAGTATATGAACAACAGGCTAAGAAACCGATTCTCAAGAAGAAAATGAAACCTGGAGGATTAAGCATCTTTTTTTTTTAAGTAAAGTGTCTGCTCACTTTTATTTATCTTTATACCTTTCGTTACGCTCTTAGCCACACTCTCCTCGCTTATATGTAATCCTGACCATGGGGGCCAGTGATGCACGAATGGCACAGGATGCAACTTCCAGTCTATAACTGCTCCCACCCACTCTTCACCTGCTGGCAGAAGGCTTGTCGACACCACTGGAAAGTACTCGCGGGGTGATCAGGTCAGCAGGGACATCCTGCAGGAATGAGGACATCCAGCAACTTCTGTGCGCCCCGACGGTACTTCTGGGGAGAGCCGACTGCCGTGGGAGAGAGCTTCTGCCCAGCTGACCTAAGCAGATCCTAGGCAATGCCAGTCAGGACACTCCTCACTGCAAATGAAGTGCCAGTTCTGGCTGCCACCACAGGACAAGTTCTTGGTGTCTTCCTAGTCACTGAACAAGACTAACAGACCTAACTGGGCCTAGTCTCAGCACTGAATCAAAACCCAGTTTTGCACCATCTGTTGAATGACTAGGAATCACCTGCTTGGGCTACGTGACCTGTGCTGGGCGGGTCTTACAGAATGAACTGCACCCCTGCCTCTGGTAGCCACCGACATGCTCCTGTGTGCATGAATCTGGGGTTTGGTTTTGTTTTTAGATTCCATGTTTAAGTGATACCACACAGTACTTGTCTTTCTCTGACTTATTTCACTTTCATGGTCCATCCATGTGGTTGCTAATGGTAGAATTTTCTTCTTTTTATGGCTGAGTAATAGTCCATTATGTATGTATGTGTTTTCTTTATCTAGTCATCTGTTGATGGACACTTATGTTGTTTCCATGCCTTGGCTACTGTGAATACTGCTGCAGTGAACATGGGGGGGGGTGCACATGTGTGTGTGCAGATATGTGATAGTGTTTTCATTTCCTTCAGATAAATACTTGAAAGTGTAACTGCTGGATCATACAGTAGCTCTATTTTTAATTTTTTGAGGAGCCACCATACGGTTTTTCATAGTGCCTGCATCAAGTTACATCCCTAACAGACATGCACAAGGGCTCCCTTTTCTTCACATTCTTGGCAAAACTCATTACTTCTTGTCTTTTTGATGCTAGCCATTCTAAGAGGAGCAAGGTACGATCACCTTGTGGTTCTGATTTGCATTGCCCTGATGATTAGTGATGCTGAGCATCTTTCCATGTACCTGTTGGTCATCTGTATGTCTTCTTTGGAAAAAATATTTAGATCATCTGCTAATTTTTTAATTGGATTGTTTGATTTCTTTTTGTTCTTTATAAATTTTGGGTATTAATCCCTTATCAAATATATGATTTGCAAATATTTTCTCCCATTCAGTAGGCTGCCTTTTCATTACCTTCATGGTTTCCCTTGCTGTACAGAAACTTTTAGCTTGATGTAGTCTCTTTTTTTTTATTTTGTTACCTTTGCTTTTGGTGTCAAATCTAAACAATCATCACAGACCTAAGACAAGAAGCTTACTGCCTAAGTTTTCTTCTAGGAGTTCTATGGTTTCAGGTCTTACATTCAAGTCTTTAATCCAGTGCGAGTTGATTTTTGTGTATGGTTTAAAATAGTGGTCCAATTTCATTCTTTTGCATGTGGCTGCCCAGTTTTCCCCACATCATTTACTGAAGAGGCTGTCCTTTCCGCATTGTATATTCTTGGCTCCTTTGCCAAGAATTTGCTATAAATTCATTGACCATAGGTACGTGGGCTTATTGCTGGGCTCTCTGTTCTGTTCCACTGACCTATGTGTCTGTTTTTATGCCAATAATTACACTGTTTTGATTACTACAGCTTATAATATAGTTTGAAATCAGGAAGCATGATGCCTCCAGCTTTGTTCTTCTTTCTCAAGATTGCTTTGGCTATTCAGGGTCTTCTATGGTTCCATACAAAGGTTAGGATGATTTGTTCCATTTATGTGAAACATGCCGATGTAATTTTGATAGGGATTGCACTGAATCTGTAGATTGCTTTGGGTATACATTTTAACAATATTAATTCTTCTAATCTACAAGCACAGAATATCCCTCCATTTATTTGTGTCTTTTATTTCTTTCATCAACGTCATAGCTTTCAGTGTGAAGATCGTTCACCTCCTTGGTTAAACTGATTCCTAAGTATTTCATTTCGATGCAATCATAAATGAGACTGTTTCCTTAATTTCTCTTTCTGATAGTTTGTTACTAGTGCATAGAAATGCAAATGCTTTGTGTATATTGACTGTATATCCTGCAACTTGACTAAATCTGTTTATTAGTTCTAACATTTAATGGAGTTTTTAGACTATATATAAGATGATATCACCTGCAAATAGAGACAGTTTTTACTTCTTCCCTTCCAATTTGGATGTGCTTTATTTCTTTTTCTTGCCTAACTGCTCTGGCTAGGACGTCTAACGCTGTGTTCAATAAAAGTGGTGAGAGCGGGCAACCCTGTCGTGTTCTCCACCTTAAAGGAAAAGGTTTCCGTTCTTCATCACTGAGTATGCTGTTAACTGTGAGCTTGTCACATACGGCCTTTATCACGCTGAGGTACTTCCACTCTATATCCTTTTTCCTGAGAGTTTTTATCATGAGCGGATTCTGAATTTTATAAAGTCTTGAGACTTCACAGATGGATGACAGAGCAAAAACGTGATGAGTGCACCACTGCTGCTGGTAAGTGTGTGAAAGGAAGGACAAACGCACACCTGCATGCACATGTGCATCTTTACCTTGCCACCTAAATATCCTCCAAGGAGAAGAAAGGCAAGATCAAATCTGGGTGAGCGCAGAGTGTTCCTTTAGGTCAGCAAACTACAGCCCCTGGATCAAATCTAGCCCACAGCCTGTTTTTGTAAATAAAGTTTTACTGGAACACTGCCACGCTCATTCATTTATGTATTGTCTATGACTGCTTTCATGCTACAATGGTAGAGTTGAATAGCTGTGACAAAGATCATGTGATCCACAAAGCCAAAATATATTTAGTATCTGGCTCTTTACAGAAAATGTTTGCCTACCCCTGCTGTAGGAAACAAAGGTTTGTCCTCTGATGGAAAGAGGCACCTAGAGACTGCTTAAAGAAAAGACCAAGCTGACAGTTAAGACACTATGACTCATGGAAATGCACTACATAAAAAGCAAAGCAACAACAAAAAGCAACGTCACTGGAAAGACAGGGACCCTATCTGGATCTTCTTTTTTTTCATCTGCTACTTAACATAAAAGAATTACTAATTAGAGTGTATGTGTCTTTAATTTTTCAACAGCTCAGGTGGAGTGTTTCTGCAACTGAAATAAACCTTCATTTGGAAACATCAAACTTAACGTGTTAAAATCAGCAAGTTGAATATATTGACTAAATTTTATTTCTGACTTTGTAGTAAATTTTGTCTTAGATTTCCTCTAACCTAATTATTGGAAGAGCAGAAAGAATTCTCAAGGCCTTGTCATTAAAATAATCTTCAAAAGCAAAAACATTGTAATTCTAAGTTTTATAAATGTACACATTTTGGTAAGTAGGTGAAAATTTGAAGCTTGATATTAATTTTATCTTTATTTTTGAGCCCATTTCCGTCTAATTCTTCTATTAATAACTTGTGGCCTAAAAGCATTATCTATCATTATCCAAATACCAAGCATTCTTTGTTGAGCAGACTAACAGTGACTATTTTTGATAAAACATGTTGGAAGTTCAAATGCTGAAAGTTCTCTAAGTTCTTAATAAGCCTGATTCTCCATTCTCCAGATGCACCTCCCTCACAGACACACAGTGGGGCCTGACTCCCCATTTCTGCATATTAAACAAAGACAATCCTGTTCCAGCAGCAAGCCAGGCTGGTTTGGCAACAGTTTTTATACTTGTTGTGAAATCTGTTATAAAACCAAGTTAGTCCAACACTGTATTCATTAATTACTGTCATTCTTCACACATCATAACAAGTAATTTAAAAGTTCCTTTAAAATTTAAAAGTAATTAGGTACAAAGTCAGCAGCCTTCAGAGAAGGCTACAAAGTTACTTTATACCATCTTACTGACGTTGACACTTAAAACCCATGTTTATCCCAGAACCAATCAAAAGTTACAAAAAACTAACACAGCAGAAAGAAACGCTTTTGATCATGGTGTGACAGGAGCAACACCTAAATGCCTCGGCCAAATTCACTAGGGCAAAAACTCCCCGTCTACAGTGACAAGCAATAAAAGGCACCAGCAGCAACCTCGGAAGAAAATGTTCTACTGCAGTGAGGCATTGTACCAAAAAACAGTGACTGGTGAAGTCTAGTAAGGCCTAACACCACGCTAAAATCCACTTCTGTGCTCCCTTATTTTCATCTGTGCTGCCTGCTTTAGGACTGCATCATGGAGTAAATTTTAAAAATCAGTTCTCAGTATGAGAACTGGTTCAGCTTCGTTTTCAAAGGCACGCTGAGCTCATCGGCTATCTGAGCACACGTCTCAGGAGACGTGATCACTTCAAAGAGCATCCCTCTCTTTAGGCACTCTTTCTCCTCCCTTTAGTTTTCTTTCTAGGCATTTCAAAGAGCTTCATCGGTATTTCTCTTATTAAAAATACAGGTAGTATAATTCAGAAGGTCAGAACTGAGGCTCTCCCATGAGGCGGCCAAGGTCAGTGCCCCGGATCCGACACTGTGAGCACAACCTGGGCAAGCTGCTTGACCTCTCTGTACTTCAGGGTCATCTAAGAAACCATACAAAGAGTGCCTAGCCCACAGAGCTCCTGAGAGGGATGAACGAGTAAATTCTTCTTGTAAAGAGCTTAGAACAGCTCCTGTCACACAGTAAGCGATCAATAAATGTTAGCTGATATTATTAAGGTAAATCACTGACTTTTTTCCCACTAGAGATAAAAGGACCTCAGCTCAGAGATAAGAAACAAACATGGAGTAAGTGGATGTGATTTTTATATTGCCAAATACAGGCCAGGCTCTTGGACCAGAATCCAGTTGCTTTCAGCAATGAGAAAAGAGAATCTGAGTAATTCCTAGACCCTTTTGGAATGCACAGGTTTTTCGAATGCATTTTATACTATATTAGATCATTTCATGATAAAAATCATCTTTTATACTGGTTTCACAGCACTTTTATTGGTTTCATCACGAATACTTGGGGAGGTGTAAATCACTGAGTTGTATCCTACTTTCTGAATCAAAATCTGAGACAGATCCCAGGTATCTATTTGAAAAGCAAACAGAGGGTAGAGGTATACAGCACAGTGATGGAGCGTGTGCTTAGCATGCACTGAGTCCTGGGTTCAATCCCCAGTAACTCCATTTAAAAAAGAAAAAATATCCCCAAAAGATATAAATAAATAAATATTTAAAAACCTAAACAAAGTAAAATTAAAAAAAAATAAAAACCTTTCCTAGCTAATTCTAATGTGCAGGAAAATTTGGGATCCACTGATCTTAACTGTGCTATATATATACTCAAATTGTCCTTCAGGACTTCATTCACACACCTCAGATCTGCACAGTAACCCACACAAACGTGTAGTCATTTCCTGCCATATTTGTGGCCAAGTCTGATTTATCTTAAAAAAAAAAGTGGAAGTGAGGTTTATTTTAAGAACAGTATTTTCATCATAGTCAAATACTGCTGCTGTTAGTCTGTTGAAATTCAAAGCCTTCTTAGAGTCAGGAGGGGAACATTTCAGATGCGCTAGTACCGTTAGGTAGAATAATAACAACTTATATTTGCAAAGACCTTTATGTCGTGTTCTGTCATTTTACTTCTTCAGTGCTTCAACTACCCATCAGTATGTAGAGCAATAACTGTTCTGTTTAACAGATGAGGCATGAGATAGCTGAGACCAGCAAAGCCTATCCCAGAACTATTTGTTTGTTTGCTTGCTTGTCTTACCCTGAGAAAAACATGATACAACAAAACACCTTCTAAAAGCAAGAAAGCTGAACGGAAAGGAAAAACATGGTCTGAGTACTATAAAGTTACTGCTATGAACTATACAAAACATTGTATTTTTCCTTCCAAATTTAATCGTATCATAAAATAAAAATCCCTGGCTTTTCCTACGTATAATAAATGAGACTAGAAAAGAATACACTGAATGAGTAGTGAAGTTAACCACTCAGTTATACAAAACCAAACAAACTATACAGATGAAGAAAAGTCTCCACCTGTGGGAAGCTGACTAAACAAAGCTGCACCCGAAACGGGCAGATTCACGTCACTGCAGGGTGGTTTTAGAAGTCCAAAAATCACTTTAACGACTGCTTTACAGGGTTCTAGACTCCTCTTGACTCTCTCTATACGTACTCAGGATAAATGGAATTAATTCTGAGAAGCAATAACACGAACACATCGCCAGCCATAAGGAAGATCAATGACATTTCTTTCCATTGCTCATTCTTAGGCTGCAAAATACTTAACTTCTAATTGCTAATTATTTTTAAAATGCATTTACATAAAATGAAATGTTTTATAATTATTTCTGAAATACAAGTTGTTATTGATTTGTTTAATTCTGCTAAATTATTAATACAACTCATTAATTGCACTTAATGTTCTTACTAAAACACAGTGCGTATTAAAGATTGTATTTTTAACCATAGTTCAATTTCAATCATAGACGTTAAAAATGCCAGTAATTTAATAAAAAGCGTGTTGCAGGACCGATCCTAGGATCTTACTCACAGTAATGCTATTTGAAGAAAAAAAAAGAAAAGAAAATCAGTAATAAAAGGTGACCACAGAAACATAATTTTAAACATCAGCTTTCAAACTGTGCAACTTACTGTAAGAAGCCAAATCTATCTGTGACTCTGTAAACCAGGTAATCAGCATCCTCCCAAGGTTCAATCTCTGCGCCTTCTCGTCCCTACAGCAGGAGACAAAGGAGGAGGTAACTGGGAATGTATAAAACTGAAATCATTTCTTAAAAGAAAAAGACAAAAAAATTGTGTCTTTTTTTTTTAATAAAAATAAGAGCTGGAACTGAGGCATTATCAACCCTACTTGACTTAAAAAAAAAAACTATTTCTGGCAATAATCACTATTTCTTTGTTTCAAACTTTGGAAGATACTAACTAAGCCTTGAACCTAAGACTTGGGTTCACGTGAGAAACTGGTAAAGAGGAAGCAATGGAGGGTTAGAAAGCCAGTCAAGAATGAACTGCCAAACTTGAAGGTTTTAGAGCAAACACGCCTTAGAAAAAACAGGTTTCTTGCCTTTTCATCCAAACTCCTCAGAAGAAGGGGCTCCCTTCAGAGCTTCACTGGTCCTGGCACTACTCTTGCCGAGGTCAGAGTGGCCCCCCACCCACCGTCAGGTCCCGGGGACATGCTTCCAGCCTCAACCAGTGGACTTTTCTGGCACACTTGTCAGCATTGCTCTGTCCCTGTTTCTCAAGCTCCAGGACCCTCATCTTTTGGTTCTACTCGTCCTTCCCCAACTTTTCCATGACAGGTTTGGCACAGGTACCTCTTGAGGGCTGGTGCCCGGAGCTCTGTCCTCAGCACTCCATCCTTCTCACTCCCCTCCCGAGGCTGCAGAGCAGCACCGACTAGCACGGGAACCCAGTGGAACCCAGGTCTGTGGGGACCAGTCCCTCCCAGTACCCAGCTGTGTCATGGAGCCTCCCCCTGAAGACACTGCTAACTGTCTGGGCACCTGCTCCCCTCCAAGCAGGCGACAGCGTCTCCTGGGCAAGGACTGCTGTAACTCACGCGTGTACGGTGAATTCCCAAGGCCTAGCATGGGGCCTAGCCTGGTCACTAACTGCTAATTGCATTGGGAGAAAAAATGCAAGCAAGTTCTATTGGTTTTAAATTAGTTAAACAGTTAAATAAATTAATCAGGTTTTCATGGCCACGTTAAAATCTAATCATAATAATGGGACACTGTGTTTGATGTTCCAAACAACCAACTTAAAAACGAACTCTGGGAACATGACTATTAAATTGAGCACTGCCTGAATGCCTCCCTGGAAGCAGGGCGCAGTCCAGATGGCCTTCATAATTTCATGTTCCTGTTATTCTCACAAACAATCAAAAATAACAGATATGAAATTACATGCAAGTGATATAAATATAAAACATGACATTTATAAATCATAGCTACAACTCATTATGGACCTCAAGAGATAAGGAAAGAATAAGGATACATGTAAATTGTCAATCCACTATGATTTTCTAGGGTATTAAAAACCAGATTCCATAACTAAAGGATAAAATGCTAACAGAGATCATACTTCACTTATAAATTCAAATTTTTAGATCCATGTTAAACTTTTAGTAGCACATATCATTTATAAATAAAATGGGTATTTAATTCCATACACTAATGTATTAAAATATTTATTGAATACTTAGTATGGGCCAGAACTATTGCAGGCATTTAGGATACCAGAGCAAATTAAATTAAATTCTAGGAGTGAGAACAGACAACAAAGTGTAATATAAAGTATGCTGGTACAATAAATGTTACGATGAAAAATAAAGAAGAGAAGGGTGATAGAGAGCTGGGAGTGGAGGGGGTATTAAACAGTGTGAGAAGGTTTCACTAAGATGTAGCATCTAGGCAAAGAGCTGAAAGAGGAGGCAATGAGACATGAGGACATCCAGGATACAAATGCTCCAGGCGGAAGAAACAGTCAGTGCAAAGGTCCTGAGGCAGGAGCAAGCCTGTAAGAAGTGCTGGAAGAATAACAAGTGACTAGAGTAGCTGGAGCAGAGGGAAGGAGGGACAGAAAATAGAGATGAACACAGAGAAAAAAGATGACTTCAACACTCACAGGGAGTAGGCAAACAGCCTCTGTAATTTAAGCGCTCCAAAAAGCAAATCCATTTCTATTAATATGTTTTTTTAAATAAAGATTAGTCAAAGAGTAAATATGAATACTTACTCTGTCATATTTAGCAACTATTTCAGCTCGCTCCTGGGCAAGTTTGAATGCTACATCCTGGTCTGAATCTATGGAGAGATCAAATTTAAATGAATTGTTATTTCAAGATTTATAATTAATTATAAAACTAAGACAAAATGAATCAAAATAAAACAGTTAATCAATGCTGCCTGAAGTGACAAATCAGAAAAATCAAACAAACTTACAAGAATGAGTTAAGTATCTGTTAACTATAACTTTGAAATATCAACATAGCTACCATTTCAGTATTACATACGATACCCCAAAGGAAGCAAATTTGTTAGCATAGCATTAACTTAGGAGATATGATAAATTTTATCCCTCAAGAGTTAATTTTGGATCTAATTTCATAGAAATAAATATCAAAGTGGAAACTGGAACTGAGAACTCTAAGTTTTCAAATGAAACCCACTTGTGGGCATGACATGAAGAGCTTCCAAGGAGACTTGAAAAAACTGAGGTAATCTGCCCACAAAACAAACTCATGCAAGACAGACTTTTGGAGTTCAAAAATTATTTTTCTGATGTGATGAATATACTCACGTCTTCGTTTAGACTCTCAGGTCCCCTTTATCAACTGCCCCAACTACTGAAATAATCTCCAGTCTTACAACACACACCCCTCTTCCTTAGTACTGCCAGGTTATCTTTCAAAAGCACAAATACTGAGATCAAGACATGAGGTAGTACGGAGAAGACCACACATCCCAAGTACCACAAATAAAAATAGAAGACCAATGACTTACTGTATAAAAGGCACTTCTGACCAAGAAGAAAAAGCCAAGCATTCCAGTGGAAAACTGGGCAAAGGTCATGAGCAAGACATTTACAGGAGTAAAAACAGCAGAACAACTCTCTGTGTTCCTACTAAGTGTCTGGCAAACAGTAAGATCCCACCAGCAGCTGATGCTGTGAAAAGCACTTTACATGCTTTGTCACATTTAATTCTCACAGCAGCACTTGTCATACTAATCCTACTACACAGATGAAAAAAACGAGGTGGAGACATTTTAACCAACTTGTATATGGTCACAAGCCTACTAAATAGGAAAACTGAGATTCAAATTCAGACAGCGGTGACTGCACGGCCCACGATTTTAACCACTGTTGCGGAAAAAGGTGTTACAGCTAGGTGTTACAGCTCAGTTGTGACAGCAACCTGGAACCAGGAGAGAGACCAAGCAGGACTCAGAGAGTCGGAGACCTCAGGTTTATTACGCCAGCGGGCCCAAAGGAGTTAACACTCCAAGCTCTGAAACCAGTCTATAGGTTTACACAGGCCTTTTATAGGATGCCAGTTTTCCACTTTGCAACATCATATGCAAATAAAGTACAACAGAAGTTGACCAACCAGGAACAAGCTTTGTAGAAATAGACCAATCAGGAGTGAGCTCCATGCAAATGAAGTACTACAAATGGGCCAATCAGAAGTGAGAGTAATAACCAATCAGGAGTGAGTGTAACAACCAATCAGGAGTGAAAGAAAGTGAGCTCAGGGAACCAATAGAATTCTAGGTGTAAGCCGCTTTAGAGGCAAAAAGTGTGATAAAGCCTCTGAGCTAGGGATCCGGAAGATGCTGGGAGGAGAGCACACGGCATCGTCAAGCCTAGCACCTTACTCAAGCCAAATGAAATCAAATCATTTTAATCGGCTTCACATCTAATATAACAATGTTCCAAAGTATAAAAGGCATATTTTAAGCAGTAAAGACCAAAGATGTTTGGGTTAAATACTCAAGTATACAGGAAAACATCTCTGGAAACACATGTATGGAAAAAAAAATGACACAGTATTTAAGAAGGCTTTTTAAAATGACAACCATAACATTTTAAGAAGACCTCTAATTCCGTTTAAACATCAGCATTTTTAAGAGTCAAGTATCCACCTGAATTACATTTTTTAAAAGTAGGCACTGTAAGTTAATATCACAAAGTTAACTCCAAACTGTAATGAACAATTCAAAGTTATTAAATTTTAAATTCAATTCAATAAAACGAATTGATAGACCATTTTGTCTTGTGTACATTTTGACAGATCAATGTTTAAAAAATTATATATATATAAAATCAACAATCTCAATTTAGAAAGTACTTTACCCTTTGTGAGATAACCAGTCTGGCCTTGGGAATTAACAACAGCTTCAGTCCTCATAGAGTAAACTTATCTATTCCAAGATCTCATGGTCACTTTACAGTCCACAAGCACACCAAGAGTGCCGGGTGGCACCCCACACATTCTGTGACAAACTGAAACATAGAAGCGGAAGGCAGTTCTGCTTTAAACTATTTGTGAAACAAGCGGAAGGAGAAAAGGTCTGAGATACATTCTCAGGGAGAAAAAAGCCCTCGCTGTGGTTACATGGACTACAGATATTCAAACAAAGATGATGTTTGTTGAGGGTAAAAGCATGTCTTTCAGGCTGGGGCCCAGTAGGAACCACAGCAGCCTACACCCCGCATTCCACCTAATAACGAACAGGGGCTGTAACAAGGAGCTTCACAATGTGCCTTCACCCCGTACTTCAAAATTAGCCACGTTCTTATTACTTTTAATAAAAATTGTCTTGGAGCAACAAAGAAAAAAATTTATTTAAAACATCAGACTGCAGCTAAGTAGGACCACTCTTGTCCTCAAGCACACTGTGTAACAATCTGTAATTGGCACGCTTCAGCCCCGGGTTCAGACACTGCGCACTACGTTCTGGAAGGCTTCGGAAATTTTTAACACACCGCACGTACACAAGCGAAATAAACATTTCATGAAACAATACGTCTAACTACTGTCAGACGGCGCTGTGAAATGTCCTATTCCGTTCTACTGATTCTTTCCTTCTTCCTTTAATTGCTTATTTTTTTTTAAATGGAATGGAACCTACAATTTGGAAACCACTGTGCAAAAGTGACAGTCACATTAGAGGCATGCTTATGAACAGCAACTTCACTTACCTGGACACTAATGAATTAAGTTTACACTCAGCTTAAGCCAGGTGTAACATTCAAGACAGGCGAAAGTCTCAGAAGCTTAGAGAGAGGGAAAAACTTTTAAGCCATAAATCAAGGATTGAGAATCAAACTGGCATCATACTTCTTATCAGCTAGAAGATAACAAAGCACTTATTTTCAAAGTTCCAAGAAAAAAAATTATCCGAAGCTTGGAGCCAAACAACTGATCAAGTATGAGGAAAAATTAAAATGCTTTTAGATATTTACAAGGTGTGGTAAGCTAAAGAGTGACTCCCCAAAATACGTCCACATCCTAATCTCTCCAACTTGTGAACGTGCCCGATACGGCAGAAAGGATTTGCAGAGGTACTTAAGTAAGGACCTTGAGACGGGGAGGTGACGCTGGACCGTGCGGGCGTCACAGGCACCTTGTAGGGGAGATGAGAAGGTCAAAGGAGGAAGCAGATATGAGAACAGAAGCCAGAGGCTGGAGTGGTGTGAAGCAGGAAGGGGCCGTGAGCCAAGGAAAGCTGGCGGCCCCCGGAAGCTAGAAAAGGCGAGGGATCCCACTGTCTCCTAGCGACTCCAGAAGGAACCAGGCCTGCTGACACCGTGACGTTGCCCAGGGAAACTGATTTCAGACTTCTGGCCTCCAGAACCGTAAGAAAATAAATTTATGTGGTTTGAAGCCACCAAGTTTGTGACAGTTTTGTTACAAAAGCAACAGGATCTAACACAACGACGTGAAGTTCCCTGCCTAGACAGTTCTTCCTTGACAAAGACTCCCCTTGTCCAGACTGCAGCCTCTGCTTCACTAGGCCTCGACCCTGGCCTCCCGCCTGTCTCCCGCCTGCCTCCAGCCTGCCTAGCCCAGTTGTAGCAAGAATCCTGCTAAGTCAGTTTAGCGCGTGTCCGCCCACCCTTGACATCTCATCACCCTTGATATCTGGTCATACTCATCCCCCTCCCTTGATATCTGATTACCCAGGCCTGCCTCTACCAAAAATCTTGTTAAGGTGGTTTAGCAAGAATCCCCCTAACCTTGATGCCTCCTCTTGGTAATTTTCCATCCACCAGAGTCCTCACTCTGCTGGTTGACCATAAATGCCTTACTGTATTTGGAATCCAGTTTCTCTCCCCTGTTGTGATATTCTTGACACTTATTGCAACAGACCTGAATAAAATCTTCTTCATTGTTTTATAAGTATCAGAATAATTTTTTCTTTAACAGAAAAAGAGAGGCAGACACAGAATTCATGAACTTTCAGGAGGCTAAAGTCACACATTTCCAGATGCCCACTGTGTAGCTGCCCAGAGAGTGACCAGCCCACACTGGAACAGGGAATACCAGGTATCTTCAAAAAGAAAGTGAATTCTAGACACACATAGACCACGGATGCGGTTAGTGATACAGTAAAAGCTTACACACAAAAGACACCAAAAAGAGGGGAAGAGGACTATGAGAAATCTTAGGACAAGGCGGAGGGTAATAAAAGTCACAACCTAATACAAGGTAATATACAAAGCCGCCTGGCTATGAATTCGGTACATATGGGGAAAGTGAATTCACCTGACCTTGACACTCTTTAACATTAGGATTTTCTTTCTTTCCTCCATCTTTCACCCGGAAGAGGCCCTAAGCATCAATGGTGTCTAAACAATGTTTCAGTTACTGGCAATCATATTCTTAGTACACCATGGACTAAGATACATCAATAATAAAGATTCTTTTAATGATAAAATCTTGATGGCACCACTGCTAAAAACTTTGGCATTTATTTTGCCATGCTCCAGATCCAAGGCTAAGAGAGGAGAGATAAGCAGTTAAACAGATCAACAACAAAAAATAAACAAGATAAAGGAAGGCGCACCAGTCACAAGAGAACCTGAAATACCACTTATCTTAACTGGTCATTCTGTGAGAGGTGACATTATATAGGGCACTTAAAAGGGACAGATACCTGCCCTCCCCACAGGAAAGGTCATCCTGGAATAGCATCCCAGGAGACTCAGACATCCTCAGCCAACAGCATCACGTGCTGGTCCTGTGAGAAGAACTGACGCAGACTCTCCTCCAGTCCCTTTCACTCCTCCCGTCAGGAGGGGCGCTGTAATTCAGCACTCCTCGCTCCAGCACAGTTCCCCTTCCACCTCTCCTAAGTCAGTGAATTCCATATTAAACAAATGTCTTATCAAAAATGCACAACCTCAAAAGCCCATTTATCTCCTTCATCCCCCAGCAGTGTAATCATCTTAGAAAAATCATTTGGCTTCCTTCCCTCTTTCCATGTCAACTTGGGAACAACACAACAGCAAGATTCTGATCATAGCTGCAATTATAAAAATAGTATAAATACTCGTGATCAAGGAAGGGACAGCCAAAGGCTGGGAGTTAAACACGGGAAAGAACCAACGCCATAAACCCCAAATCCTCAGAAATGCCCAGATTCCCACTTTAAAAGAGCCACACATGTATCCACATACATGTTCATACTCCTGTGGTGTAACATGCATTGTCTGATATAATAAAGACGTTCAAAATAAGTAAGCTTAAATGCACTTCAATTTTAGCTTTTAATTATCAGCATAATTTATACCTTGCCATTCAAAACATTCCTATCACTAGCAGCATGATAGCAACATTTTCTATTATATCATGCTTTAAATTAAGTTTTTAAAATTTTCACTAAATTTGCAGAATACTTTTTTTTAATTGAAGTAAAGTCAGTTTACAATGTGTCAATTTCTGGTGTACAGCATAATGTTTCCGTATACATATGCATACATGTATTTGTTTCCATATTCTTTTTCATTATAGGTTACTGCAAGATCTTAAATATAGTTTCCTGTGCTATATAGAAGAAACGTGTTATCTGTTTCATATATAGTAGTTAATACTTGCAAATCTTGAACTCCCAATTTATCCCATCCCTTCCCATCCCTGTTGCCCTCCAGGAACCATAAGTTTGTTTACTACGTCTGTGAGTCTGTTTCTGTTTTCCAGATAAGTTCATTAGTATCTTCTTTTTTTAGAACACATTTCTTTAAACAAAATCTTACGCAAAAGCCCAGTTTTCAAGCAAGAACGGCCAGTGGGGTTGAGGCGAGAGGTAGCAAAGGTTCCCCCTGGCTGGCATGTGAGTCACCTACTGCTCAAATGAGCTCCCTTCCAGTAGTTTCCCAACTGCCACCGCAGCCTCCTTCTCTCTGTGGAGAGACCCCCACAACTCTCCAGGTCCTTCTCTTGCTTTTACAAACAAAAAGATCAACGTTTTATAACTGGTAGGTGGTTTTGCTTTGTTTGCAATTATATACCTGTAAGACCTATAGGAACAGGACACATCTCCAATATCTTAAACATGGAGCACCCAGCATCAGGTAGATATTTAATATTTCCATAACTAATAAAATATTTTAAATTACAGCTTTAACAACAATTCCAGGGCATGCTTCTATTACTTGCTTCCTAATTTCTAGAAAGATGAGAAACAAAATAATTTTTGAAGACCTACAATTACTAACAAGGATTCATTACAACAGAAAGGATAATTTTCCCCCTGCAAATTTAATCATGAATTGTAGGCTTTCTAGAAGACCCACCTTACAGATGCCCACTGTCAAAAGGTAGAACTGGTCACTGCATCTTTAGATCTACTGTATTTATAATCTATTACCCATAATAATTTATTGAAAATATTTATTTCCATGTCTCTTCTATTCAACTGTAATCTCCATGAACAAAAGACAGTATCTCACTCATCTTGGTATCTCTTGCATCTATCAAAGTGACTGGCACATGGTAGCTGCTCACTAAATATTTCTTAAAAGAATTTTTAAAAATTACTCAAAATTAGTGACTAACATGAATTATTCAACCAAGTAAACACTTAACAATTTAGTTAAAAACCAGATTTACAAGCTATTGTCCAGACATACCTTCACTATAAAAAATATATATATATATATATATATATATTTATATATGCCTTTGCTAAAGATTCTTAGTTTTCTCATATACTTTATTCTGCTTTTTAAAAACTTCTATTTCAAGGTAGCATTTGACATAGTATTAAGACTCAGACATAAGAGGTCACAATCTAGTTCTGATTAGCACTGCTGACTATTTATAAGACCTTCATATCCCTTAAGGAATGACAGATGAATGGATGAATGAATGAGTGTCTGTGGCTCCTGAAAGATGAAGGAATCAGAGAGCTGCCTGCTGTCCCCGTTCCAGCCTGCTCTCCCCACATCCAGCCTTCCTCTAGCTGCCCAGCCCCGCCTTCTTTCCC